CGAAGAGGGCAGGTTGGCTGCCCCAGCCTGCAGAAGCCACCATGCCGGGAACAGCAGGCAGTTGGGGGTTCCGCTTGGCTTTGGCCCATCCCCCGCTGTTTGCTGAAACGGCGAACACTCGCAGCACCCCATGCCCTTTACACGAGACTCCAGTGCCTCCCCGAAGATCGCAGATCCACCGCCAGCGGATTTGCTTCCAGAACAGGCTTGGGCATCTGGTTCTTCTTGAGGCGTTTGAAGAAACCAATACTCCGGAGGGCGCAAAGTCGGGACGTGGCGCGAGATCGAAGGTGCTATCATGCAACAGCGGCATCAAAAATAACTGATAAGGTAGGTCAAATTTGCTGGTCTTGGCAATTTTGGAATCTGGTCTCATCGGAGCTTGGAATGACCCGTTCTCAACGCTCCTCGAGGGGTATTGGCCTGCCAACCGTCGACTCACGATTGCGTACTTCGTATTGACAGCCGCATGTTCCCCTTTTAAAAAGGCAGGTATTCGATCAAAACGCAGTACGCAATATACCACTAGCGGAGGTCCGCCGTTGTGTGTAGCACACACAACAACCCCCGACCAGGTCGCCATGTGATGGATCCGTCTCTTTGACCCACGGATCCGGCTTCCGGACTTGGCAGACCCCGAGTTCGGGATGCGAAGGAACACTCTGGTGACTCTTTCAAAGCCGACTTTAGGGTTGCTGCATGGATCGGCCGCGTTTTTGATCACTGGAGCCCCGACAACTTGGATGCACGCAGTCATCTGCGATGGCGTGCAACATGCCTTGCAGCAGTCTAGGCGCCAGGATCTGAGATCGCTCGAGATTGTCTCGGGGCTATCCGTAACGGTCCATGTGGTTGCTAAAGTGTGGTGGCATACAGAGGATATACACTACGAGGAGAGTGGCTTTGCAGAAGAGTGAAAAAGCTCGAACCATATCACTGTCAGCGCCAGAGGCAACGGTTTGCCCGCTTACGGAGCCATTCCTGCAGGATCTGGCCCAACTGAGGCAAGACCATCGTTTGTTCACCAGAATTGCGCTTCACCTGCCGGTATCCAATCTTAACGGGCAGGCCAGCCGAGATCCGTTTGCAGCTTCGCGTGGCTGTCTCTTGGGATTCCTGTCGCGTGCCTGTATTTCCCGGCCACGACCAACACCAAGCACCTGCCAATCCAGGCAAGGGGCTAAGGCCGATTCAACGATTAAGGTCCAATCATGCAACGCGGCGCGTGGCACAAAACGGCCGTGTAGGACTTCTTGGTGGCGAGGAGGCCATCTTGTGGCAACAAAACCGCTATTATGGACCAAAAGCCCTTCTCATGCCTTTACGGACTCAAAGTTCGCAGAGAGGATTCATTATCGTTTTTTTTTTTCATGTGGTCTCCGTCAACCGGATGTTGTACGCAAAGCGGGTGGAGCTCTTTGCACGTTCCACCAGCTTTACCAACTTCGACAAGCGCCGCCAAGCCGAAAAGGCTTGTCTCCTGCCGTTCCTGCAACAGCCCGCTCGCTAACCACCCTTCCGGCAGGCTAGCGGCTGCATGGACGAACTAGCCCGAGCCATGGCTTCTCGCGCTAACTAAACCGCGTCCTGTGTTTGTCGGCTCGCAGGACCGTTATAGCAGCTCGGGAGGAAGGCGACCAGTTCGACAGGGAACTAACGAATTTGTGTTACTGTTGAAGTGCCACCCATGCTGATGTTGGAACAACTTGATGCCTCAGAACGCCGCCAGCTTTGCCACGTCGTACTCCGCAGTGTCGAGTGGCTGCCAACAAACTCATCAACTTCGCCAATGCTCGCTAACTCGTCGACCAGAACAACGGCGCAATCCACCACGCTCAGCCGCATAATGGATTTGTGCCTTGCTGAGGCGGCGACAGTCATTTTGAGTCATTCCCACAGCAATCAGTTGCGGCTCTGGTTCCTGGCCGCGAAAAAATCGTTTAGACTCTGGTAGATGGCATCGACGCACCGTGGTGCATCTGTTTTGTGTAGGTTTCATGGACCGCGGCTGGGCTAGATCACGAGTTACGGTGTCGCCTGCCAAGAGGAGCTGTCAGCTGAAACAATGCGGATCTTAATGGTAGGAATGGAGCTCAGCAGAAATGCACATCGATCTCGTCTGCCCTCGCAACTGCTGTAGTGTAATGACTCAAAAGGCTCGCCCCTTCGACCTCCCAACATATTCATACTTCGGTGACCTTAGTCAGCTGGCCCTGCGATACCTCCAGAATCTTGTAGATGTCGGCCCCAATACACGCAGGAGCGGAGCCTGAGCTGCCGCTCGTAAATTCAAGGAAATGCACTCGGCACAGGACAAGACGCCGATGGTAGATAAGCATGCAGAAAACTGTGTCCCTCGTCATAGCAGCCATAATCTTATGGCTCGGCCATTCCCGAAACATAGCGCCGCCAAAATCGCCGGCCGTCAAGACTTTACTTATTATTGCAAGCGTTCCTTTTTTGCGGACGACTTAGTCATGGTTACCACGGACATTTTGCCCGTGATACATGGGCACAGCTTGGCTATATGCTCGGGTTAAGAGGGGTGTGGTTGTGGGAGTTTGCGGAACTGCCTAGAGTTGTCAAGAGCCTGTGACAGGCTACTGCTGCCATGTTGAAAGAACTTGTGACTAAGGTATCTGCAGAACATCTACTATGATAGATACGACGCTCTGGTATGTAGTCCAGACTCGAAACTTTCAAGGCAGAGTCGGAATCTGGTTTTAATTTACCACTGCTCTTCCTGGAAGGGCTTCGTAGTTGCCTGTGCTTTGAATCCAGAAGAGTCGCGGTTGCGTTATCAGATGCTCGCTACTTCTCCCCGTAAAGCTGCATATCCCTCGGCTTAAGATCTTCTACCGTGTTCAACTTCTGTATGCAGTCTGTCAGTCCTCCTTGAAATTACTGCGCTCGTCAAGCTGATGGGAGCTCCCACGGCGTTGCCTCACAAATTCCGCCCTCGAACCGATTCGTCGCTCGTTTCGATTGTGTGACGTTCTCACAGGAGTTCTCCGCCGTTATTGCAAACAGAAAGATTAAATAACTCAGCATCATGTTTCTTGTTTCAGCGCTGACTGCCGCCATCTTTGCAATTGGAGTTGCTGCAGGTCTCTTGCCCCGATCCTCCATTGCTTCAGAGATCCATCGCTCGGGTAGCTTCTCACTCAGGCAAATCCGTAATCCAAACTTCGTCCGAAATGGCCCGATTCAGCTTGCCAAAATCTACCACAAATATGGGGTGCCTCTTCCCAGCGATATAAAAGCAGCGGTGGCGCGAATTCAACGTAACACGCGCAAACGATCCAACGGCAGCGCTGAGACCCATCCAGAAGCCAACGATGTTGAATATTTGACGCCAGTTTCCATTGGGACTCCCCCGCAGGTTCTCAATCTCGACTTCGACACGGGGTCCAGCGATCTTTGGGTGTTTAGCTCTGAGACCGCATCTAGTGATGTCCAAGGGCAGACCATCTACGACCCGAGCAAAAGCTCTACGTCCCAGAAGCTGCAGGGATACACATGGCAAATCTCGTACGGCGATGGCAGCTCCTCGAGCGGCAATGTTTACACCGACACGGTCGACGTCGGAGGGCTGACAGTCCCGTCCCAAGCCGTCGAGGCTGCAACAAAGGTCTCGGACGAGTTTACCTCGGACCCCAACAACGACGGCCTCTTAGGCCTCGGTTTCAGTTCCATTAACACCGTCAAACCCGTGGCACAAAAGACGTTTTTCGACAATGCAAAAGACAAGCTTGACGCCCCCGTTTTCACAGCTGACCTCAAGGCCAGTGCGCGTGAGTGACTGCTCGTCTCACCCAATCCAACACTTTCTTCTCCCCCGCCTTTGAAACTGACATGACATTTCGCGCAGCCGGACACTTCAACTTTGGCTACATCGACCACGGCGCCTACACGGGCACCATCACATACACGTCCGTAGATAGTAGCGACGGATTTTGGGCGTGGACATCGCCGGGGTACGTGGTCGGTTCGGGTAGCTTCAAGAGCACCACGATCCAGGGTATTGCGGACACGGGTACGTCCCTGCTCCTTTTGCCCAGCTCCGTGGTTTCGGCCTACTACGGGCAAGTGAGCGGCGCGCGGTACGACAGCATTCAGGGAGGCTACACGCTCCCCTGCAGCGGCACGGTGCCTGATTTCGCTTTCGGGGTTGGCAACAGCAACACCACCATAACGGTACCAGGGGATTACGTGCGGTACGCCGCGACCGATTCAACCGGGGTGACCTGTTTTGGTGGGATCCAGGCGGATACGGGAATCGGGTTCTCCATATACGGAGACGTTGCCCTCAAGGCCGCATTTGTCATCTTTGACGGCGGCAAGCAGCAGCTGGGCTGGGCGCCGAAACCTTTGAGCTCATTGACCCGGGTGATTTGAAAAAACCTGACGACTGAAGTTCGGCACTGGGAACGGGGAAGCGAAGCAAGCGCTCGTTCCTACCCATACCATACCCACATTCTTACATCTGATGGCGAGGTTCTTCATTTTATTTGCTTCTCAATTTTTATTTTCTTGTTTCAACATATACTTCTATTGCTCGGGTCGCTTAAAGTAGGGATATTGTATCAAAGGTTTCCCGGGCACTGCGAACTTGAAGGGCTGGTCTAGGCTGGATATATTAGTTAATTCGTATAAGTTGGTCCGGAAAGAGCACCACGCGGATCAAGGTGAAAATGGGGGTTATTGTAGGACTCGCACCTTTGAAGAAAATGTATCATCGTGGATCGCGCTCGATGTTGAGTGCTCCGCATGGCTTATTCAGAAAATTGATCTCCCTGATTGGTGATCTGTGCACGTCATCATAGTTAGAGCCGCAACACAGTTGCGAGATCTAAAGACAGTTACGGCAGGTTTGCCCAAGAAGCTCATTGCTCGAACATTAAGATTGAGGGATATGCTAGACGCATAAACACGATGCATCTGTTGCAACTGTAACAGAAAGACGTAAGTCAAGCCTATGTCCGAATTAGGCAAAAATGAGGTCGTGCCCGGGTTCGAACCGGGGTTTCTGGAAGGGTTGACGAGTCGTCAAAATCCAGAGTGATAACCACTACACTACACAACCTATTTTACGAAGTTGCCACATACGGGCTCTAATGCAAGTTTATAAACACCATTTCCGATTGGACAAACCGAAATAATCTCGCTGTTCATGCGGACAAGAGTCTCGAAAAGGCTCTCAAGTTAATCACATTGAATCTGTATACAACTCAAGAGCGTCAAGGCTAGACACCAGTACTCGCTAGGCTTTCGCCTTGGGTGCCGCAGCGTCCCTCTGGCATCATTGTTCGGGTATCTTATCAATGCCGTATCCTCAACGCCATTCCCGATGCTCTAATGCGCTGTACTTCAAGAAAAAAAATCAAATCCCAAAAAAAAAACACCCTTTGAACTTTATGAACCTTGCTCCTCCTCGTCCTCAATGATTGGAACCTCGACCACAAACTCGGCGCTAGCCTCGTCTGCGTCGGGCTTCAGAAAAGCAAACGCAACCGAGCACATGTCTGACAGACCCTTCTTGCCAATAGCGTCGGTCTCCGCTGCCTTGATCGGCTTCCACCCTTGTTCCAGGTCGTTCGGGTTCTTGGGAAGTGCGTATGCTATCTTGACCTCGCTGTCGTTCGCCGGCACGGGCGTTACTTGAGACTCGGCGGGATTGGTAGAGGTGCTAAGGCCTTTGGGGTATCGGTCTTGTAGGACGGAGAGAAGCTCGGTGGTAAGACGTGAGAAAGACCAGTCGGCCATCGCAATTAGGAATATGGTATGAATGCCATATTTCAAGCGAATCGAGAGCTCAGGGTCTTCGAGGGTCTTCGGAGGCTGGTAACAGCGAGAACGTTAGCGAGTCGGCGTCAGCCAAATACCCTAGTCTGGCTCGGCGGAGTTTTACCATCTTATGTTTTTGCAACTCAGAAAAATCTGGACAAATTGAAGCAGAACGGACTATCGTGTGGAAGTTTTCTACGAGTGTGAATATCGACGGTTGCACATGGACGCTTCGATTGCCAGGAGTGGATGGAAAGGCAGTTGCCTGCTTGCCGGGCCCCACCCCGGTACCACGCTAGTTTAGCTGGTCGGGAGCTTGGACCATCACTTCATTCAGAAATCCATTTTCGAGCGCTGCACGACTAACTTGACAGATCGGATCCGATTTGTAAAGGACGCTCACGGCTCGCCACTGGCGATGCGATACATTTGAACAACTTCCAAACTCCCGTTGTCAGAACAATCGTCTGCATGCGACGATACAATGGCTGCGGCAGACGATGAGGCAGCCTCACAGCTGCGGCGTGAGCAGCCTCCGCCGCTATCCCGGGCAGAGGTCGATCAATTCTATCAGAACTCTCGCCTCTCCCTTCCCGCGCCCTTGCGAATCCCGATGGCTTCAATACTATCCTTCTGCGCTGGATTTACTCTAGGCACGGCCCAGGGCGGGAAAATGGCTGGTCTACGGTTCCGCGCTGAGCACGCCCACAAGCTGCCCACGAGCACGACCGGCTGGTACCTTTACCACAAGAGCAAGAATTACCAAATGGCGTACGGCGGAATTCGTGAGGGCTTCCGGATGGGCTTCAAGGTGTCATTCTGGACCACGGCCATGTTCGGCATTGAACAGATGTTTGATTCGTACCGCGGAACCGCCGACATGTTCAACACGGTGACATCGTGCGTCACCGTTGCGGGGGGCTTTAGTCTCTGGAGTATGTTCGCAATACTGTATTGAGATGTACTGCCTGGTCTCAGAATTCCGCTAACGCCATTGCTCCGGTACAGATCGCTTCTCGTTGCCGATGACAGCTCGGACGACAAAAGCGGCCCTTGTCGCTGGGTTTGTGTACGGAGGCTTGCAAGATATCTTGGGCATAGTAAGAGGTCGTCCCATCAGATACGTCGACGGAATCAGACAGCGATTGGGATTTCCCCGGCAAGAGACGTCGAGTGTGCAGTAAAGGGCATCTGGACTTGTCCTGCAAGGCCCCGACGGACCGATTGACCGGGCTTGCTGCGGACCACTCCAATTCGGCGCTGGCCCCTTTTGGCAGCCCAAGTCCGGAGCCAATCGATTTTCAAGCATGTCGAACGAGAAACGACGCATTCCGAGTAACCACCCCACGCGCCTTCGGCGCCGATAACGGGTCACCTGACCATCCCATCCCCTACAGACGACGCCGATATCAACCGCTGAACATCGTCTCCGCTCGAAGATTCGAGGCCAGGATTGGGCCGGTACAAAGTGACACTGCGGCTTTACTGGCGTCCTTAGGCTGGCAATTCTGTTCCATTGACGAGCTCGGCCTGGATTGATGGAATTGGGTCCATTTGGCCGCTCTAAAGCCGCGCTCAACTGGTGCTAGGCCGCTTGGCGAGCCCCACTTCGAAGCTTCTGTGAGCCCTGGACGCTCATCGTGGGGCTGCAGAGCGATGCCGGCAGATAGCGGACGCCCCACCCGCGCGGCTATCTACGGTTTTCCAATAATGGGACCGGCGATAACATCATCGGGTGCATCGCCAGCCATGACAAAGGGGCGTCTGGACGCACAATGACAATCATCTTGTCCCGTAACCCGTCTTGGGGGATTGGTGGGTTCTGGTGCATTCTGCACTTTTGGGGTCTGCGATACCGGTGGGAAAAGGGCCGATGAACATGCTGTTGGCCGATTATAATCTACGCCGTTCGTCTTATCAATAGAGGACTCGCCATTGACGCAACCACAAGTTCTCGGCTGCCTTTTTAAAACATATAGACTGAAATTGGTCTCACCCTGATTTCGTCCTGGTTCACCACGCGCCATCTCTTTTGCAGAGCATAGAATAACCACCGGCACCGCGCGCACTGTCACGTCATGGCACCGTTCCCCAGGCCCATGCCTGGTATCCTCCCACCATGTAGCGTAACGAGAGGAAGGTCGACCGTTGCGACCATGCGTGTTCGGACATTGATCTCTCCCATCACGCTTGGGGCTGTCTCACAATCACACCGAGTCACCCAATCAGGGGCACGGCCATCATCGACATCCACACGGTCGTTGCACTCATCCTCAAATCAATCTTCCCCATCTGGGCAGTTTACCGTTGGTGCTGGCGACTTAGCTCCACCGGTGCATGAGCATCAGCTAGCAAAGATGAGCCGACCTGCGCCGCTGGCCGTGCTGCCGTTAACCAATATCCTTCGCTCGCTCATGACGACGACGGTTTCATCCTCACCGATCCTCCTGCCGCCGTCACTCGTCGTGATGTCCCTCCTGACCCACACCACCAGCCAGCTGCTTAACCCCGACAAAAACCCCATTCTCCGCTTCTTCCTCAAGAAGACGTTCTATGCCCAATTTTGCGCCGGCGAGGACGCGCTCGAAGTACGAAAAACCATTGAATCGCTCAAGAAAATCGGCTTCGGCGGCGTCATTTTGGGTTATGCCAAGGAAGTAGTACTTACCGACGCGCAGATGAGAGATCTCACAGCGTGTAGCACTGGCGCCGTGGCGGAGGAATGTGTGCGGACCGAGATCACCCCCTGGGCCAACGGGACAATGGAGACCGTGATGCTCGCCTCGCCGGGCGACTTTGTCGCGCTCAAGTTCACTGGAGCCGGCCGACAGGCTCTCTATGCCCTCTCCAAGCGCTTGCCGCCATCCGAAGCCCTGTCATCCGCTATCGATGGTATCTGCCGACTTGCCGCTTCCCGCGGTGTTCGGTTGCTCTTCGACGCCGAGCAGCAGGCCCTCCAACCAGGCATCGATGACTGGTCCCTTGAGTATATGCGCAAGTTCAACACCCCCGACAGCGCCGTCGTTTACGGGACATATCAGGCCTATCTGAAGGCGACGCCATCGACGCTCAGCCGACACCTTGCCGCTGCGCGCGAAGGCGGATTTGCGCTCGGCGTCAAGCTCGTTCGCGGCGCCTACCTGGGCTCCGACCCCCGTCACCTCATCCACGGTACAAAGGCCGATACGGACGCGGCGTACGACGGCCTTGCCGAGGCACTTTTGCGGAGGCGATGGAACGGCCAGCTCAGGCCACAGAGCGAAAGCGGCGAGAATGCGGCGTTCCCCAGCGTGAGCGTCGTGCTCGCCACGCACAACCGTGAGTCCGTTCTCAGAGCGCAGGCAATCCTTTCTGAGGGCAATGCCGACCACACTGACGTGGCGTTTGCCCAGCTACAAGGTATGGCGGACGAGGTCAGTTGCGAGCTGGTGACGAGAGGAGCCGCCGACAAGACGCCGCGGGCCTACAAGTACCTTGTCTGGGGGTCGACGGGAGAATGCATGAAGTATTTGCTGCGGAGGGCGCACGAGAATCGGGACGCAGTGCAGCGGACCCGGGCTGGGCGGGATGCCATGCGAGCCGAGCTTATACGGAGGATTAAGGGGTTGTTTGGTTTGTCCACCTGAGGCGGTTTGAGTTCGGATTGCATCGGAAGGGGTGTTTGGGATGCGGGAGTTTCAGGAGCAAGTGCTTTTGTCTGAGGGATTCACGTCATCACGGTTCTTGCGTCCACGAACGTCAATCTAGGTAGCGGTGCGTATAATGAAACTGCTTTGATCAACTGGTCGTGACAGGTGGTGTCGGTGAGTGAGATTGTAACTGCTGTATGCGGAATTATGGGGCCTTTGGTCGCGCTGAATTGAAGCTCGAGGTTTTGAGGGAAGCCTCAAAGGAGACTCGAAAGGAAAATCAGCCGCTCTTGTCAATATCTAGCGTGGCCCAATGACGCTGATTCCGAGCGGTCACTCCTTGACTGTTTTTACCACGATTCTCAACGACATATCCTCTGTTCCAGGTTACATTTGGCACTGCACAAAATCACGTTGGCGGCAACCGGTATATCCGATGTCTGGTCCCAGTTTGGCCCCGTTGCCGACCTGTCGCTCTTTGGTGCTAGCCCTCCGGCAGGCTGGTTTGTGGGACCTCTTGCCGCCTACACGATGCCATTTGATACCTCATCCTGAACCTTACAACCCCCGTAGCGCCATACCCATGATGGCCAGCTTCTCACTCTGCTTCCGCTTATCCTGCTCGTCCGCGACTCGATCTAGTGCCGGAACACCGTTGAGACGGTAGTAC